CCCCAAAACCCCAAAACCCCAAAACCCCTTATATCGGAAAATTTGTTGAAACAATAGTTTTGCAATTTTCAATGAATTTAAGCACTAATCGAGCTCTTAAGCCAATTCGTTATCAATATGGGCTCTTGATTTTTTGAGAGAGTTTTTCAATTTTGAATACGATTCTTCATCTTGCTTGCTGACAGAAGGGAAAACTTTTTTCAACGCTTTTTCGAAGTCTACTTGTTTCAATTCTAGGCTTTCAGCATCTAAGCATCCTTGAATGGCAATTACCGATGCTTCTCTGAGAAGCATGGCTAAATCTGCTCCAGAGTAACCATTACACCTTTCTGATTTGACTATTTTATCTAATTTGACATCTTTAGCTATTGGCTTCATTTTTCAGAGGGTTTCAAGAATACTAAGTCTATCTTTTTCATTAGGAAGAGGAACGTAGAGCAGCTTATCCAAACGACCAGGTCTCAGCATAGCTTTATCAATGATATCTGGCCTGTTAGTTGCAGCAATTACAAATACATTTCTTCTTTCGTCAAGACCATCCATTTCTGTGAGGAGCTGATTGACTACTCTCTCTGTTGCTACATTATCTCCAGATCCTCTTTTCGGGCAAAGTGCATCAAGCTCATCAAAGAATATAACTCATGGTGATGAAGCTCTTGCTCTAGCAAAGAGTTGTCTCACTGCTCTTTCAGATTCTCCAACATACTTATTCAAAAGTTCAGGTCCTTTGATAGAAATAAAGTTTGCTTTTGATTCATTTGAAACAGCTTTTGCAACTAAAGTTTTACCTCACCCTGGAGGTCCGAACAAAAGTACTCCAGCTGGAGCTGTTAGCCCAACTTTTTGGTAAATTTCTGGCTTTCTGATAGGGTCGACAATACTAACTTGCAACTCTGATCTAATCTTTGAGAGAGCTCCAACATCTTCCCATGAAACATTTGGAATAGTAGTGAATCCTTCTCTTTGAGCAGTTGGCTGAACCTTTTTGAGTGCATTTCTGAAATCATCTTCTTCGATACTGACTCCTTTAAGCCTTTGGTCTATCTCAGCTCTATCTGTTTCTTCCTTATTCTCTTCCTTATCCTCTTCTTGATTCTCTTCTTGGTCTTCTCCTTGATCATCATTAGGCTTATCATCCATTTTTGATACCTGAGGATCTTCTTTGTCTTCAGTAATTTCTTCACTAACTTGATTCAATGTTTTCTGAGGTTCTTCTTGAATTTCCTGATTTGCAGCAATTTCATTCTCTTCCTTCTCCTTATAAAACTGTTCATAGATCCTTGAAATCGCGCTGATCGAAGCTTCTTTGCAAAGAGTGAAGAGATCAGCAGGAACATAACCTGGAGTGAGTCTTGAAAGTTCCTTGAAAAAGTCATCTTTATGGGCGATCTTCATTCCCTTAGTCAAAGCATAGAGGATCTCAAGTCTTCCTTCTTCATTTGGTACTTTGAGTGTAAGTTCTCTATCAAATCTCCCTGCTCTTCTTAAGGAGGTATCCATGTATTCAGGGCGGCTTGTGGCCCCAAGAATGACAACAGTTTTATCCTTATTTTGGAATTCATCAATACTTGAAATCAATTGAGCTACAATTCTTTTCTCAAGGTCTTTTTGGCTATTCTCTCTTTTCCCAGAAATACTGTCAATTTCATCAATGAAGAGAATAGCAGGAGCATTCTCTTCAACTTCTTGAAAGATATCCCTAATGTTTTGTTCTGACTCTCCTGAGAGTGAGGAGACCAGTTCAGGGCCAGAAATTTTGTAAAATGGGACACCCATTTCACCACAAATTGAATGAGCTAAAGCTGTTTTACCACTTCCTGGTTGTCCTCAGAGGAGAATTCCTCTGGGAGGGTCAACTCCCAAGTGCTTAAATATTTCAGGATGTTTTAATGGAAACTCAACTAACATCTTAATTTCTTCAATAATGTCATTGATGCCTCCAAGATCTGAGTATCTCTTGTCTGACTGCAACTCATACGACCTCTTGTTGAGGAAAGTAGAGGCATTTCCGGTCTTTTGTCTCTTTACTACTTTCTCAATTGGATCTTCATTTTTCCTCTTCTTGCCAGCTTCTTTATTCTCGCTTTTCTCGCTTTTAACACTTTTAACACTTTTCTCGGTCTTCTCGGTCTTCTCTGAAGCAACATCGTCAGGTTTGTTAAGTTCCTCTTCTTTAGCTTTTAAGGATGGGAGCATATTGTTCATAAATCCGGTTGGAGCTTTAACGTTCATCATGAGGCCTTCATCAGTATCAAAAATCTCCACATTCCCATTTCCTAGTGTTTTTATAGGCTTAACCTCTTCATCTTCTTTCTTATCACCCTGGGGATAAAAGTCTGCTTTGGTGTATGAAGTAGTACTTATATTGATATCAGGATTGAGTCTTTTAACCATCTTCTCCATACATTTCTCGATCTCCTTGCTGAGCTTAGACTCGCCCATTCTTCCATAATCATAGAACTTAGAGCGGAGGGACGAGTTCACATCTGAAACAGTGACCGGTTCCTTAAAGCTAAGGGTTTCTATGTACCCCATGATTCTATTCTCTAACTTCTTTTTCCCATGCTGCCTTCTTTTGACAATTTTCTTTTTCATCGAAGGTGGCAAATTGGCTAAACTCGACATTTTAATTTCAATTTTATGAAGTATTTTAGGGGTTTTGGGGTTTTGGGGTTTTGGGGTTTTGGGGTTTTGGGGTTTTGGGG